AAACGAATATATTTCTTCGCTCAATCTGTTGTTTTTTCCACTGTATTTTCAATGAATAAAGCTAGCAGTGGTGTCTGTCTGAAAGCTAATTTCTTTCATGAAGCGTAGATATTTACACCATACGAGAAAGTACCTGGTAAACTTCTGTCATTGTAGTCTATACTGTTGTCGACCTAGGTCACAAATATTCTGAATGTAGCTGTCCCTTATGCATAAATCTGTCCTGCATCATATGTTGGATTACCTTTAGACGCTGAAATATTCTTGCCACGAACATGATTTCGCCGTTAGGCAAGTGAATTAAATTCAAGTCGTTTAAATCCAAGTGCCTTGGTGGTACAGCGGTAGAATGCTCGCCAACCATGCATGTAGTCTGAGGTTCGATCCCTTACTGACGGACTCCTAAACCTCGCTAGGCCGGTACTAAGGTTGGTTAAGAAAGAACGTTGGTCATGAAGCTAGCAAACCCACCCCGTGAAAATAAACATCAATGTTACCTAAACTTCAAGCTGGCTCAAGCTTGAAGCCCTATGTTAGGAACGCAAACGAATAATAAAAAGTTTAAATCCAACTTAATACAAAATGCCTATTCACATCTGTCTAAATAGCTTAAACTATAAGGATACGATTTGCCAGATGGCTGAACAATTAAATTAAATTGAACTAAATAATTGAGTTCATACGCCGCAACTCCATAGGGTGATATGATGTATATGTTGTACCAAGTGTAAATTGAATTGTAAATGAGGTTTGATTTCATCCTAAGGCAGTAGAGATTCTGTTTGGTTGTAATAATGCACAGACTTATAAGTATTTAATTGATTTACTCTAATGTTGACAGACATTATTTATATTTCAATCTTTAGATGCCAAATCAGATCGTTTGAATCCTACGTCTTTCATTCACAGTAAAGACCCGTTCGAATTGACTCCTAATTCTACCAAGACTATATCAAATGCTGTCACCGTCAAACGGGCAAATAATGTGATGTTAAAAAGAACACTGAGGACGTCCACAGGTTCTGATAAATTTAACTTATGTGAAAATGTTGAAAAAACCGACAAATGTGATGAAATGGCAAACAAAAAAAGTGGAATCAGCACACAAATAAATTCTTGTAACAACTCGGATATATCCTCTCCTCCACGGGATTTTCACTCTTCTAGTCACTGTGAAGATACTTCTGTTGAACTTGTGTCATATGCATGCAGTGATGACTCCCACAGTAATGATGACTGATATTTCACTTCTGCAACGAATTGACTCTCTCTCTCTCTTTTTAATGCAGTATGCATAATTGTACATAGCTGGAATTGTCGACCACATACATTCGCTTCAGTCATGCAGTAGGTATCCAATGTACATCTAATACGTATTATAATCTTTCTATTGTGACGCTTGTGCCAAGAATATGTATATTGGACTTGATTTCAATAAAATATTCTGAAATTTGTTTTTCCCTGCTTTACACCACACGATGTTTCAGGACTTTTAAAAATTGTGTGTGTGTGTGTGTGTATGTGTTACTTACACTTTTATTGTATTGTCTGAAAGTGTTGATCTCAAGAACAAATTTGAACAAAGTCATAATTTTGTGTCTTACTAGTTCTATAATTTTGAAGTTATTGAGAAGACGGAAAATGTTGTGAACATTTGTTGCACAACAGTAAAGAGGTATAATGCATATTATATACAAGTCCTTATTATTGTTGTAACAGTTGTTTGTACTAACACTGTCGTTTCAGTGTATCCTTGACATAGATTAGCCATCATCATAACTTTCAAAGAAAAATGTGCATCGAAGTAGCATTTCCTGATTGCCAGTAAGTGGTGCATGGATACAGCATATATATAGAGGGGATTAAGTTAAGAAGACACTTTAAAATAGACTGTAAATGTCTTAAAAACTCATATCACCAGAAGCAGAGAGTTTTCAAGTAGTCACGGTTAACTGTTTGTTCTAAATTCAGTGTCTAGCTTCACATACATAACTCACTAGTTGGAATAAGACGTCCTTGCTGAAAGACCTTTATCAACATGTTTTACAACCATATCAGGGTGCCTTGATGTTGTATTCAGTGTCGTTTCATACCTTTTGTTAATTATCTTTAAACCATAGTCACTCTTTTTTAATCAACTGGGATCCATGGAGTTCTCTATTTTGTACATAAAATGTGCTGTTATAAATCTTTAAATCTCTTTGTATTATCCAACTTCCCCTAATGACTGTGGGATATTAGTTCAATTTTTCTATATGTGAGAAAACAGGTTTATATTAACTCTGTAGTGTTATCCACTATTCGAATTTTCGATTGCGTAACATTTATACCCTTCATCTTCAAGTTAGTTAGTTAATCAGTGTATGCTAATATCTTTGTACATTTTTATATTAAAATTCTTTTTAGGTTGTATACAATTGACGAGAGAGCCTATGATAATATAAAAGGAAATTATATTCTCCTGCTCAATTTCATTGTTCTCACTTTGTTCAAGTTTATCAAGGTTAAAGATTGTATGAGATAAAGGTGATGATGGCTGTGTTGTAAGCCTGGCGTCATTTCCAGTTTTCTTCAAAATTATTTCACCTCTAGCCGAATGTAAGTAGTCTGATGTTGCCTTGGATATCTTTTCTGAAATATTTTATTCACAAGAATTTCTTTTGACTTATTTCAGCAAAGATGCTTTTTTTTCCTTCACGTTCCCCAGTGGAACATAGGGCTTCAAGCTAGTGGCTTGAAGTTTCTGTAGCATTGTTTATTTTACAGGATGGGGTTGCTAGCCTCATGCCCAACCTTTCCTCTTTACCAGCATTATTTCTGGCTTAGCGAGGTAAAGGCGTGCGCCGGCTGGGGATCGAACCCCGGACCATGTGCATGGTCGGCGAGCGTCCTAACCGCTATGCCACCGATGCACCTGCAGCAAAGATGGTGATTAACTCAAATAGTTGTTACACCACAGAATTATAAATTCATTGTATTATAGAAGTTGTGGGAAGTGAAGATGATGAAGAGATTCCGACTTAGTTAGTCAAGTTTTTAAATGTGTTGACTAGCAAAATTAGGTAGTGGATTAACAGGTGGTTATTCGTACGTTGTGTAGAAAAAAAATTGAAGGATGATGTTGAATTACTGCACAGTTACTTTTCATTTAGTCATTCTATAGCTGTTTAGCAAATATAGGTTAAAGAATTCGATTATCTGTGACTCGAGAATTAGGCAACGGCAGTTAGTTATGGTTGCCAAGTCGTGTGGTAACCTATATGCCGAACTAGTAACCGAGAATCAGTAGGAAGTTACGTTGTATAATTCTGTTCGCTGTTGCACACAACTCACCTCTATGAAAAGAACTAGAAACCGTCTTCCTGGGATCACGATATCAACCTGATCATTATTACTATGTCCAGAATCTTACAGTCCGTAGTCATTGGATATCACTGTTTAAAAGATGCAGCAAACGGTTCAAACCACAAACGTTGTGGCATGTCACTCTCAAAGTCATTGACTGTTCATTTGAAGTACATGAGAATGTTTGAATTTTGTGGCAAGGGGGTGGTAGGCATAAATTGTTTGCTTGTTTTTCGGATGATACTTTTGTTTAGATGTCTTCTTCACTTATAGATTTAGATTTAAAGTTCTGTTTTTTTTGGTGTTTGTTTTTTTATTATGAAAGAGAACAATATTCATACAAGAGATTCCTTTGATAAAGCAAGAAATTCCAAAGATGTGTATTAGTAAACAGTATCATTTTAGTTGCTTTGGTTCTCTTCATTTGTGGACTACTTGAAATTAAAGTGGGTGTAAAAGATTGAGAGTAACGCATTTCAAATGTTGATACTACAACCTTGAGAATCAGGTAAATTAGGGAATCTAAATTATTGAAAAAAGGAAGATCACGATTTATAGCTCAATTCATCACTAATTTATAAGTTGTAAATTACGTAGTACTCAACGGAACAAAGGGAAAAGGGTTAGAGATTTGATAAGGTTATTGAGTGAGAATAAAGGTAGTTGAGTGTCAATTTAACAAGCGTGTAGAGGGTGAGGATATGTAAGAAAGGAACATATTAGAGTGATAACTCTGGTGGAGCTACGTGGCTTGAGTTCACCAAGTGCTCGAGAATTGAGCTAGTAATGGTCTTGCATTATCCTTCTGCTAACGGTGCCGGATAATGTTTAGAGATGCGTTTAGAAAGTGTGCGCTTTGAGCGCCCATTATAACTACCTCCATATGAACAAGCGAATTTATAAACACACATTAAAGCGGTCAAAAGCGGCAGTTTATTCTTCACACATCCACTGATCATTTGTCCACCAGAGTTGTCTTTCAAGATTATCTACAAGGTGAGACCAAATGGTACAAAGGGCATCAGGTTTCGGTATTTGTGTATGGCGAAGGCGTTGGCGATTCGTCAACACAACTCCGAACTCTGCAAACAGAAAAAGTTTGTTCAGTCTTTTATTCTACCATGGTCTTAAACTCTTCACTAGTCGTTCCGGGTAAAAGTTTTGTTTTAATTTTACTTTTAGTTTGCTTTTACTCTAATAATTAATTCACTATTATCACTCTCATATGTTCATTTTGTACATTTTCATACCCTCTACACGCTTGTTAAATTGATAATCAACTAACTTTATTGTTCTCAATAAGAATTTTTAACCTTATCAAATCTCTAACCTTTTTTCCTTTGTTCCATTGAGTACTACGTAATTTACAACTTTTATTTCTACTTCTAAAGCCACTTCTGAGTAATCATCATTAATTTATTGGATGAATATAAAGGGAGGAGAGGTGGGAAAATAGTTTTTAAGGTAAATTTCGTCATAAATGTATACCAGGTAGAGAATCATTAAGAACTAAGGACCACTAGATAGCTATTTCGTCTACTTTTAGGACTTTTCACCAGTGCACATCCACTACTGCACGAGAGGTCGAACACAGAACTTTCAGACTACCATCAAATGTTAAACTCCTAATGAAGGTTAATAATTCATTACGGAGCTCTTTTTGCAAAGAGCTCGCATGTAACAGACAGCTTGTTGGATTTTAAACCTTTGAGCCTCTAAACAGAATCCACTCACTTCCCTCACAAATCCGAGATATATGCATTGAGGAAATTGTTGACGAAGAACTGCGAAATCTCCAGTAGCTTTGTGGAAAATGATTTTTTCATAGACAAGAAGCTGAAACCAGAGAACTCAGTTAAGAAGGCATATTTAGCTCTGAAAAATGGATTTATTCCTGAATTGCGAACTTAAAAGTGATGTTGTCGTTGGAATTCTTTGAAAACAACCTTAAAAATCTCATTAAAACATGCTTCGTTGCTAGTCCTCTAATAATACTTTTGTACAAGAAATCATCAGGCTAACATGCGGACGAGAAGCTGACGAATTGGGTCAGATCATCGTGCCCATATCAGGTTATCTGTTTCTATGGAGCTGGCTGCATCATCTGTACCGTATGCCCACTTTTAGAATACTCCTGCAAACGCAGTGCAGCAAAAGCATATCGGAGCCATCTTTAGTTCTACAACCGAACACCCTGTGAATGCGGAACACTTAGCTCGACTCGAGAAATTGATCAAGCTTTTCAAATGAAGTGAAACCCTCTTATCTAGGCATTAGTGACCCAGAAATCCAAGTTAACTCTTTGACTCACCGATATTAAAACATGTGTACTGACTGATACTTGCATTGCACTGTGGGATAATACTGTTTTTGTGTGAATGTAGAATTTCTAGGGTGAAATAAGAAGGAATTTAGATATTGGTGTCTTTTTAATCTGTGGTCTTTGTCAAACACATTACGAAATCATTAATGGTCTCTTTTTCATATTATCATTGTTCCCTTGGGTTCCGAGTGGGACATTGGGCTTCAGCAACACACCTTCACTTTTTGTTCTATTCTCTGTGCTCCTCTTTAGCTTGTCCCTTGATTACCCATAGTCTATCATCTCCTTCTCTCACGTTCTCCTCCATGTCACCATTGGACCAACGCCCCACTCGTTGTTTTCCATTCAGGTTCCACTGTGGCGATTAAGTGATAATGTATTTACATCTCTACTGAACTTATATTTGGCTAGTATATAACTTCCTGATTTTTTCAAACTACTTATTTACTATTGTGTAATTATTATTTCAGTTCGCTGAATCGGTTGCACACTTTTTTAACTTTTATTTTTAAGCTGATTCATCATTTACATGACGGATTCAAATATTCTAAAACTTGTTTGGGAGGGTAAAATTCCAGCTTGTTTTTCGTTGGCACAAGAAGATCTAGCACATGAAGATCATGTTCCTCCACCCATATATGTGAGTTCACCACTTATATTCATTTTCTGCTGATGTGTATTAATAGTTTTCATGTTTTCATCTTGTTGGATATTACTATGAGCAGTTAGATGCGAAACTTGATTTGAAATTGACACTTCGCTTGATGCGCTCTGGAACTATTAACACTTATCAGCTTCTCAGTGCTGCATATATTTTGTCCTTGCTAGTATGCTCCCATATACAACCGTGTCATAAATTTGACATGTCAATCTCCACTCAGCCATCCGACGTAATCTGTGAAAAGTAGGCTATTTAGCTCATGCTGTAAAGTGCCAAGTTTAAGAACTCACTTACTTTTAGCCTAAATTTATTTATCATTCAACATGTGACTAGGCTACTTAAGCACACTAACTGAGAAGCTTTCATGGCCGAATGGCAAGTTGCGTAGCTAAGAAATAAGAGTGATATGTAAGGATACATTAAAATAGAACCTTGATTTCGACTCCTTTAGAAAATGATTATTTAAAGCAGGCAGATATACCATTTCGACGTTTGCATTTCCAGTTCTTCATGTCTTTCTGTCAGGTGCCTAGTGTAAGCGCAGACTGTTTATTTACAATTAGTATAATAATTCTCTACGTTAGCGCAATAATAATTGCCTCCTAATAATTTTTTTTTATCACTAATGGTTCCTGGGATCAAAGTAGAGTTTTACGTAAAATACTATGTAGTTTCTTCACGGCGACACTTCAAAATTAAGCACAACTCATCACACAGATTTTACTACACTTCTTACGCTCCTAAATCAGACGTTGCTTTTGAAAGGTAGATGCACGTATAGAATGACAATAGATATATGAGTAAGGGTAAAAAAGTGTTCATCTCAATAAAGATGAGATTATGTAAAATTTCACAATTGTATGTAGATAAATGAGATTGTCAAGTATTGGTTTTTGTAGGGATTTTGTTTGATTGGTTGGAGGACTTCATCATGAGTTGACATCATTTAGAGAACCACTGGAAAACCTGGGAGTACTGGACAGCCATCTCGTCCTAGTTTGGGACTCGTCATCGGTACGCACCCACCGAGGTTTGAACCCGGGACCTTCTGGTTACACGGAGAGCTCGTAGACCATTAAGCCACTGGGACCCGATCCAATGGCCAGTTCAGGAATTCTAACTTCTGCCAATTCACGACATAGCGCGACTACTTCGCAATGTCTTCTTCGATTAGTTACTGCCTCACCTTCAACCTGCTGTACCCTACTGGTCACTGCTTCCCACTAGAACCCCCAGGTCACTGCCTAAATAGGGCCAGTCGCTAGCAAGCATCAGAAAAGATTAATTGAATTGGATGTAAGTGAAACAATACCTAATTATAAGTATTAACAGCTTTGATAGTCCTTGTCCAACAAGTTGTAAAACTGCGTTCTTCGAGATCGAGTAGACGTTGCTTTGAAGAGGAGGGGCTATGTTATCAATTTGGATTGGATGAAGATTATCTATACGACAATAGATATCTTTTAAAGTTTATCTAGAAGTTTTAACAATGTAGAAACAACCGACTGTTTCTAACAACTTGCTTGTTCAGGGGAGCGCATGTCGAATAAGAATGACCAAGCAATAAAAATAATGTTCATCACTTGGTCATTATCATGAAGTGCTGCCAGTGGATGTTACAATTCAGAATTAACATATGTCTTTTGAATAAACCAGTTTTGCCTTTCATCTATTTTACTATCATGTTAATTTCTTATGTGAACTATTTGTTTTCCACTTCTCCTCCTCCTTTCCCATCGTATGTATACTACTGTCAGGCTGTTTTGGAATTCCACTACTCACCCTCACACTTATGCGTATACTAGTACTGTACATACATTTTCACCCCTTCTCGCACTTCACCTACTGCTCTATGAAGGTCCATAACACCCAACATTTAACCTTAAGCTAATGTCATGGTTTTAAATTATGTCTTTTGTATGAAGCGTTTATCAGTGAAGTAGTATTAATCACAGTTGATACGTTACATTATGTATTTTCATCCAGTCATCATTACTGTAGCATATACAGTTTATGGAGTTAGTGTTTCTCAAGGTTTTGCTACCTGGAGATGGCGATACACCCACCTAATACTAAAGAATACCATTTGTGTCAAACTCTGTTTTTTTTTCCATATTTACTTGATGGCATCATTTCTGTGTTTATATTGCTGGAAGAAATTGTTGAAGCTAGTCTCCGTTGGTAATATTGGTTAATGAGGCGTGATTCTCGCAGTGTATGAATGTTGATCTCTTTTCAAATCATACATTTATACCTTACTGGGCTGTTTATTATTTTCTCCTAACTTCATTCAACTGAATATCTTTAATTCAGCCATGTTCATGCCTTATGAAAAACTGTAAGACGAATAGAAGAAACCAGAATATAACACTTAAGCGCATCATTATCTACTTGCAAAATTTCACGCTGATAATGTTTACGCCGCTTGAATTTGCGTCATGATTTCTACACACTAAAATTTTTGTTCCTCTCTTCAGATGTTTCTTCCTCGTGTTTCTTATTTCCCGTTGGTTACTGAAAAAGTAATAAAACAATTCAGTCAGTTCACCCAGATTTCGTCAACATTCAAGCCTTCTTCCGAAGATGCGTCTTTTGAGTCATGGGGAAAAACAGAACATGAAGCTCAGTTCACACCACCATCACCACTACCACCTGATCAGGTCACGGTGTCCAAACAACATCCTTTAGTAAATGAATTTTGGTTGGAATATGCCCATCAGCCTTTGAAATGGTATGAAATATTTCTAACGTTTTTTTTTGTTGTTTTGTTTTTATACTAGCCGCATACTTTTTTTTCTAATCCACTTGTTTATTGTATGGATTACTCATGGTGAGTTCTTCTATCTTCTGTTCAGGTAGTGTTATACGACATTAGTAGTCATTGTACATACATACTGACTAATCCATTGAAAATCAGGAGGCATTGCACAACTGGCCAATTTTTTTCCTTCACAAACGTATAAATGTTAAATGGTGTAGGAGAAACGTTTAAATTCTAGTACTATGCAGTACTACTTCCTTCACTTATCTAGGAAGCATCATTTCAACTACAGGCAACCGGAACAGCTGAATATTTCCGAACCAGCCAGAATCCGAAAGGCAAGTTACGCCTTCATCAACCTGAGACCAATTTGTGAATCTTCTGCACTGCGCCTCAGGATAAACAACAAGATTCGGATTTTAAATACAAATGTCAAGTCAGTCGGGCATTTTTTTCCATATGTGTCAGAAACTTGCATTGCGCGTCACAAAAAGGATTTCCAACGAGTTACAAACTTCAATCAACAGCTGCCCACTTCGCTTGCTCGATATTGAAGATCAAATGGCTGGCCAGAAACAATTGGCAACAAGAAACTATAGGAACAAACTAACCAAGAGCCGATCGCTCAACAAATATGTAGGAGAAAATGGAGATGGATCGAGCATACGTTGAGTAGGCCATCGAATGATATCGCACGCAATGCATGCCATCTCTCGATTAGAACCCGAAACGATAAGTGGGGCGTTGGTCCGAGAGTGACATGAAGGGGACCGTGCGAGGAGGAGATGAGGGATTATAGTCCGTCGTGAACACAGTTGAAGAGGGCAGCAGAGAATAGAACAGAGTGGATATGTGTTGTTTAAGCCCTATGTTCCACTCGAAGCCCAAGGGAATAATAATGATAATAATATACCACGCAGTACTGCAAATAAATTACATTCAAAAGGATTTATCGTTAAATGTAACACTTGTTTGTGAGAAAATTACCGTGTCTCTGCGTGCATTTAGTAGGGAGAATTAAGTCTCTGTAATAATCCTTCCATAGCCACTGTACTTCCTGTAGGTATCATGTATTGCTCTCTCCCTTACACCAAACATATAGCCAATTAGTTTTCAGTATTACAGCTAAATATTTTCTTTTCCAGTCAATGAAACAAATTCTCGCTACTGTAACCTTTTTAATTACTCGGAAAAGTCTAATAGTAACTAATAATCATCTAAACAATCCTACTAATAGCAGTTTACTAGCAAAAGAAAGAATAAAACAATTAATTTGGGTCGTCCTGTATACTAAATCAACCAAAAGGATAGCAGCAAATTAATGATGAAAAAGACAAAGTGTTGGGAGGGGTAAAATAAGTTTTGTGTGTATGTGTGTGTGTGTAAGTGAACAGAATTAGTTGCTAAATCAGTAGGCTTCCATAACAAGTACAAATTGGAGGATGAAGTGAATTGATGTTGAAAATAGATATTCAAAGCATGAACGGTGCATCTCCTACATCGTATCGGAAATCGTGCTGTATAATATCTATTTCTTGTGATGCGCTTGTCGATCAACAATTTTCAACTGTAAACTACTTTTAATATGATGTAGTTTTTATTCAGTAGTCGGTACTAATATTTCATTTTTTTTACGCCAAATACATATTTTATATTTTCTTATTGTCATATTGTAGGCACTATCCAATCGGACTTGTATTCGATATGTGCGCTGATACAATAGATATCCCATGGAAGATAACAGTTCACTTTAGTGTACGTCTACGGTATTTGACGACATGCTTTTAAATAAACTGCACACTTTTCATTTTCATTTAGTAGTTTAATAAATTTTTTTATTTATTCTAATTGTTTCTACTGCATATAATCATGGTAAATATTAAACCGGAGAAAACTAACCAAACAATATAACACTAAAGTAACCAGAATTTTTGCAATCTAATCCCTTGATAGTTAAAGATGTACAATTCAAAGCAACTGTGTAACGAACAGAAATGCACAGGAGAAAGAATTATTACACCTAAAGGAGATAATGCGGATTTAGTGGATCTAAAATATTATCAAGAGTGAATGCATCTGAGCCAACAGTCAACAGCCATTGGTTTTTAGCATCTCAAGGACACTAGCCATACATTTAGCACATCTTTCCGTATTGGCTGAAATCAACGGTCAAAGTCTTTATGGATTGATTTGATGACTGCCTGTAACTGTTTCTCAGCCTGATCGTATATCAGTTAACATTGATTGAGGAGGAATGTGATTGGTTGGCATGCGTAACACATGCCTTACCCATCTCATAATCGATGCAACTTTAGTTACCTCCTCGATTGATTTTTCCTTATTATTTAGTTCTACTGTGATTATTTAACTTCATTATAGATCACACGCATACATACAGATCAATCCATAAACTTGAGTTAAAAAAGACTGGACTATACTTGTTACAAATAGCTACATATGTGTTAAAAGAATAATATGAATTATTATAGAAATATGAATTTTCTTTAAACTTAACTTAATTTCTAATTTGTATCACGTTCTTGTCAATTACTACCTGTTATTTTTCCCACTACTTATTTAGAACTACCCAACTGACTTACTCTTGTCTCCACCTGTAAGTCGACCAGCTATTGAAGCACATTTCTTATCGATGATCAAAGAAGCAGACGCTCTAAAACATCGTAGCTACGTTATAAATCAAATGCAGGCTAGGGATCATCGTCAATTGTGGAATGGATTATTGCATTTCCGGTATGATCAGTTTTGGTCAGTCAATAGCAGATTGATGGAGCCTTTGTCGACCAGTAATAAAGGTACGTTTTTCACTGTGAAATGGTTAACATGATCGTATGCTCCATCACTTTGAGATTTGTTTGCAAACTCTGCATAAGCCGATTTTTAATGAGATTATTATTATTATTCTCTTGGATTCCGACTGGAACATAGCACATCTCAATTTCACCGTCTTCTCTGCAGTTCTTTTCAACTGGCTCCACGATTGCCCATAAGCTTTCATTTCCTCCTCACATAATCTCCTGGATGTTATTCACGGATTCGAAACTTACCGCTCCTTATTCGGTTTCCACTCATGAGCCTTGCACGTTATGTCACTCGGCGATCTCCTCAGCGTATTGTTTTTTGCATATTTGCTGGGCGATAGGTTTATGGTTGATTCTCCACTGCCTGTCAGAGTTCCTTGTTGCTGATACCTTCCGCCAGCCGTCTGATATTCCGTACGGAGCGAAGATAGCTGTTGTTGAAAGTTTGCAGCAGCCTGTTGACAATGATTTTCGTTACGCGCGCCCGGTATCTGAACCAGATAGAAAACTTCGATCTTGTTCTTTATCCTGAGAGCAGTCGATTTCCACACTGACTTTAGACTAATGTAGGTCTGTCTTGCCTTTCTGATCTTGGCCTTGACATCCTCATCCATGCCAACTGCCTATAGCAGAAAAGATACTGCCTATATAAGTGAAAGAGATGACCTCTTTCAAATTTCTGGCGTTGCTGGTGGCTGATGCTTGTTGTTGTTGTTGCTGGTTAGGTATCTTCTTTATCTCTATCTTCTCAATGTCGACTTGAAGTTCTGTCTTCGCTGTTTTTCCTGCCAACTTTCTCCTGCAGATACTCAAGTTTGTTTGACAGATCTCCCAATGTCTCCTCGTCGGTCCAATGTATGCAGGTTTTCTCCTATGGAGACATTCTAAAGTCGTAAATTTTCAGGACTATAACTTCTCAGTCTATTCGAATATCAACCTGTATTCATTGAATTATAACGTTTTCTTTCTACGCATGGAATTTAACTCCCCGTGTAGTTTATTGTCAGTACTTAGAAATTCCGGCGATGTATGTATGTCATATCTTATTCGTTCTTATTGGATTTCCCAGAACAGGACTTATTATTTTACTGATAATTTTATACACTGCCAAGTAGCATTAGTTCCTTGGAGTACGGTGTGCATATTGTATTCGTGTCGTCTCGTTTTACACTTGTAACTTGTGTGAAGTACTGGATGGTAAGGATAATGTTTCAAAATTATCATCAGAGTACACACTGTCGTTTTCACTTATCGTATTTCCTTAAATCTGATTACGCAACATTACCTTTTACTTCACATTCTGTAGACGAACAAACACCTCATCAGTCAGGCATATAACTGCATCAACGTATGGTTGAAGCGTTACTAATGGTAAACAATGTTTTCAGAAAAGATCTTTAACATTAAACATAAGCGACATTTAGTGCTCCTTGTTCTTAGGTCATATTTGTTGTATATGTTATTTTATCCAACAGTGATGAAAAAATGTCTTTAACCCTTTTACAACTTAAACACATTTTCTAGCCTGATGCAGAAACTACATTCTTATTTTATTCGCTTATTTCTATCGGACCTCGTAAACAATAAACGTAAAGATCCATTGTAAAATCTCACACAAAATGGTGTATCTGACTGACTGAATAGTTTCAACGTAGAACTTCGCACAAATGTGTAACAGTTGGAGTTGCCACACTCCATGTAGCACACAAATCAAGAGAAGAGATTAAAGAGATTCGAAATAGACAGAAATAATTAGCAGAAATATGAGGCAAACATAATGTTAATATGGAAAAACAAAAGGATTTTATTGGGTATGATAAATCACAAAGAGTGAATGCGTCTGCACCATCATCAGGAACGGTTTTGAGCCATATCATCGATTGTCTCCACCCATTGGTTTTTACCATCCCGAGGACCCCAACCAGACAGCAGTCTACACCTCCCCACATGATTGGCTTAAAATAAATGCTGTGGATTTGATTAACTCGTGAAGCCGTGTTTTGGTTTAACCACTACTAGCTACCTCTTTTCCAACCTGATGCATCCTGTGTCAGCTAACATTGGCCGTCAGTCGAGGAAGGCGATGACTATGCATTTGTAACACATGTCCTAAGCATCTTAATTGATGTAACTTCACAATCTCGTCGATTGGTTTCCCCTCCTTACCTATCACTTGACCAAAGCCTAACCTTAATATTGCTCTCCCTATTATACCGCTTCACACGGGGTATGGAACACAGACATTTGTGATCAAAGACAGCCACCCTTTTCATGTCTTCCACTCTCAATGGCCAATCAAAAAGGAAGATAGAGCGAACAGCTGAACAGTACACATGCCCTTTGGTCGACATCCAGCCGGACATCACGTCTACACCGGAGATTGTGGACCACAATTTTTTGTCTCTCACTATGTGATTTATATTCAAGAAACACCCAAAACATTTCTACACTGCTACCTACTCTAATTGTTCAGAAAACTGACATGCAATGCCTTGAATTTCGAGTAGTCTGGTTAGAAAGATACGATATCCTATGTGACATGGTGTTGAAATGCTGCGTGTTGCGTCATAGTGATATGTGTATACTCGACGACTGAACTAGTGGTCAGAAAGATGAAAATGATTCACTTGTGAGGATTTCACATAGAAGAATCTACAATTCTTATGATGATGAACTTAAACTGTGTTCCTTTGTTATGTTGCCATCTCAAATATTGTAGTAAATTTGTCATACTTCCACATACCTCATGGTTGATGAAATAATATTAGGTGTTCAGTTAGGTCTAACGTCCACTTTATTCAAATTTCAAAATAAACTATAAAAACAAACGGATGGGGTGGCAATGCGATCACCAATATCCCCACTAGTGGCAGGCATAATTATAGATAGTTGGGAACATAAGGTTCTTAAAACGTATAATTCTGCTCCTATGTTATGGTGAAGATATATGGATCACACGTTCACCGAGTTGAAATCTCAACATATCCCTCAATTTCCTACACACATAAACTCAATAGTAGACTGAATCCAATTCACTTCTGAGTTATAAAATGAACAAGGTGAGTTGGCCATGCTAGACTGGTTGTAGAATGAAACGAAAGCAGGATGGTGGGTGAGATACTAGCATTTATAGGAAACCGACACACTAATAAATACTTAGACTTTAATTCATTCCATCTGGAATCGGTAAAGATAGGTGTAATTAAATGTCGTTATAATCGGGTCAAGAGCCTAACTCGTAGGTCAGAAGACTTAAATAATGCAATCAAACAAATAAAGGAAATCTCCCAGGTTTTCCAATGGTTCTCTAACCAATGTGAGCTCATGATGAAATCCTGTAACCAATCAACCAAATCCCTACAAACCAATACTTAAATAAAGGAAATATTACTAGTGAGTAACTACCCAACAGAATTTATTCAGAAATATATGAAGAACCATACAAAAACTAAGACTAGCAATAGAAGTGACGAAAATAATATAGACTTCAAAGCCTCTGTAGTACTGCTGGATAAAGAAGGGGCGTCCGAGGCCTTAGGTGGAATCCTCAATGACGCTGGAATTAGGGTGGAATTTAAACCAAACAACTCTCAGAGATAAACTTTGTCGGCTTAAGGACCCAACAGATCCAGTTAGGAAAAATAATATAATTTACCATGCAATGACTGTTATTGAGGTCAATTGCATAGTACATCAGGGTCAATTAGATTATTGGAACATAAAAATTTAGCTAGACCTAGAATAATTGACCCTGCTAAGTTAAACAACCTAGAAAAAGTTCGGCTGTTGCACTGCATTCACTTGCATATAATCACAAAGTAGGGTGGGTGGGACGGGTTGAGAGTATTAAAAATTGAAGACAGGTTAATCACTGAAGCTTCGTTTATCGATTCAACACGGCACACGCGGAATTGGAATGTCGCAACGCCTATACACCGGATATACGGAAAGGGGCAACAAACAACAAAAGGAAGTTGGAGAGACAGAAAGAGAGAAAATATATATAACACAAATTGTGAAAACGTGTGACTAAATTGATATGATTATGACTGATAATTTATTCTCGAAATGTCATCCAGTTGTTAACACCGCATCACTGTGCAATAATTAAAATAAGCTTATCTAATATGGAATTACATTCTAACACAGTGCTCAAGTTCTACACCTACCTCATTGTCTTCACTGAACAGCATAATATTTGATTTCTAAAAAAAGGTTATTGTGAATTCAGTTTATTAACTTCATATCTGTTAACCGCTTTGATATACGGTTGTTTTTCAATACGTATATAGCCTATCCCGGTGGAAGAAGCAACAGGCTAACAAAAACATCATTCTATCTATCTGTTTATCTGTTTTCGACATAGAACTTTGCACATATGTGGGGCAGTTCAAGTCGCTACACTCCATGTAGCACACAAAGCAAGAGAAGGAAGTAGGAAAAATGCATATTAGAGATAGTAAACAGAGGTGTGAGACAAAGGAATAATAATAACGAAGAAAAAAACAGTTTAATTGGAAATCATAAGTCACAAGGAGTGGATGCATCTGTGCCACTTGAGAACGATTTTGAGCCATATCACCAATTGTTTCCAACCATTGGCGTTTACCGTCCCGAGGACCCCAACCAGTCAGGAAGTCTACACCTTCCTACTTGGCTTAGACTACCTGTTGTAGATTTCATTGACTGGTGCCATGTTTTCGTTTGACCGCCGCTAGCTCTTTTCCAGCCGGATCCATCATGTGTCAGCTAACATTGGCCGTCAGTCGTGGAAGGCGATGACTAGGCATACGTAACACATGTCCTAACCATCTCAGTCGATGTAATTTCACAACCTCGTCAATTGACTTCCTTTCCTTGCCTAGCACTCGACGGCTAACCTCAATATTGCTCACCTTATTATACCACTTCACACGGGACACACGCAGACACCTATAATCAAAGACAGGTAATCTTTTCATTGTCTTCCACTCTCGATGGCCAGGTCTCACAGTCATAAAGGAGGACGGAGTGGACTGCTGAGCAGTACACACGCACTGTGATCGATAGTCGGATATCACGTCTACACCAGAGACGGCGTAAACTGGCATATGCGAAACTAGCTTTCTGTATCCGTGCTGAGATTTCGTCAGAGATCAACCTGTTGGGGCTGATGGTACTTCCCAAGTAAGTGAAGCGATCAACGTGCTCTACCACTTCCCTTCCTATTTCTAATCTAGGAGTCGGTGTAGTCCAATCCTTAGTAGACTGCTCAATGTATTTTGTTGTCTTCATTGTATATTTGCTATATAGCAGAAAAGTTAGTTTTCAAAATTGATCACTAAAAACTGTTTCAACACAACTCTCCAGTACTTCCTAGTTGTTTAATGCTTTTCTAACTGAATAGCCGGTTCGTGATCAATCTTAAAATCAATCACACTAGGAAAGTTAGTGTTTTGTTAATTGTATTATTGATTGACTATTGATTGTGTATTGCACTCCAAATGAGAACACAATAAAAGAACAAATGTTAGTCAAACACGATGGGATCAATTCATCAAATTTCGGTAGGACTCCTCAGATGACCACTTTAGACATAGTATTACATACACATATATTATGGGGAAAATATGCGGGGAAATTTGAATGAATCAATCGTACATAGCAAAGCATATGCTTAAAGTGTTTTACAGGTTACAGCTTCAAACAGCTGAAGGGTAGAAGAAATTGATTACGAATCAGTTATAATATAATATAAACAATTAGTTATCAGAAAGAATGGGAGAGCATGGTAATAATAATGAAACAAATTAAGACTGAGTGCAATAACAGATGAAGTAAAGTAGCTATAAAAACGGATAACAAAGCGAAAGATGCCACCTTGGTGGAGTAGAAGTAACAAACGTTTCCTTCTGAACGCAAAGATTCAGCTTACAGAACTACATAAGCCTCTGAGATTGAAGACATCCTTCATTTTGTTTGTCTTCTGACAATGGTGACTTACCAGCATCAATATCATGTTTAGTATGCTGGAGATACTTTGTTTTTGAATTCTTTTTGCAAATAAGATTACACATACCACTCAGTTGACACTGATAATGTTGAAGAAATCTAAAGGAATTCATCGTCTCCACTTACCTGGGCAACATCCTTTCAAGTATTGGTTTGTAGAGATTTGATTGATTGGTTACAGTATTTCATCATGAGCTGACATGTATTCCTGTAACCAATCAATCAAATCCCTACAAAATCATTACTTGAATATCAATGAGGTGCTCACTAGTGACTGGCCCTATTCAGGTATGTAGTTACCTGGGTTTCTAGTGGGAAGTTGTGACCAGTAGGGTACAGCAGGTCGGCTGTGAAGACAAATACTCGCCGAAGACATTGGCTATGTCGTGAATTGGCAGAAGTTGGGATTCATGGACTGGCCATTGGATCGGGTTCCAGTGGCTTAATGGTCTACGAGCTCGCCTTGTAACTGGAAGGTCCTGGGTTCGAACCCTGTCAGTGGGTGCGTACTGATGAAGAGTCCCAAACTAGGATAATAGAAACAGCTGTCCAGTACTCCCAGTTTTTCCAATAGTTCTCTAACCGATGTCAGCTCATGCTGAAATCCTGTAACCAAACAACCTTTTAGTTTCAGACAGCACAGATGATGTCAAATCCAAACGGGATCCGAAAAGCAGGATATATGTTTATTTCTCTGAAGTCAGTATGGAGATCCACACTACTCAGCATAAAGAACAATTTCCGGATGTACACTGCTAGTGTCACGCAACTCCTCATGTATAGTTCAAAGACTTAGCGCACGCGTCCTGATAAGTGTGTAGAACAGGCTATTACGGATTTCTATCAACAACTCCCTTCACTCAATACTGCAGATCAGATGGTGGGGCGGAAAGGATAAAGTAATGGTGAATAACTGTTGCAGTGCAGCGATTGAATATGCAGAGGGGAACGTACGCTAAAGAGATCATTTAGTACTGACATCACATGCCAGACGCTTGAGTGAAGCCCGAATGTGAATTGAAAAGGTGGGCATCTAAGTGTTACACGGAGGAGATCATGGGAAAATCAAATGAAAGCTTATGGGGCATTTGTGGAGTCAGCTAAGAAATATACCTGAGAAGAAATTACGATGGTAATGTGCTACTGAATCCCTATGATATACTCAGAACTCAAGGAATGAATAATAATGCTGTCTTCTAACATTCATGTATTCGGTGCCGTTCTGGTTAGATTTTGTTTGATTTTATTGTGAGTCACTGTTACAGGAGAGTGGCGAGAGAGCATGACCTTTACTAACCTGCAAGATAGTTATTATCTTGTCGACTTTGTGATTTCTGAATTCCACAAGATGAATCTCAGTGGTCTACTAAAATCTTGATGGAAACTAATTTGCTAACTTCAACAAACATGATGATAAGGGTCAGAGTTACGCTTTGGATTTATGTTGTATTCTGTTTGATCATTTATAGCACATTTTGCTTTCTATCTGCTGAAGATTGGACTTTTGTTGTAGTTAATTAGATAATCCCTGAACCTAATACTATGTGTAAACTGATGTCTGTTTATTTGTAAGAAATAATAAGGGTTTTCTCTTTAACTATGCATGCATTATAGTACGTAAACATCCTATCTGTGTTTATTTACATTTCCTAGAACTCATGGTGGGAGAAATGCCTTCTTCTGAAGAGTCAGATGAGAAATTACTTGGAAATCCTGACATATCGTCTACAAAGCATAGGACATTTCGTTACATACCTTGTCGTCTTTACTGTGCTACTGGGAATTCAAGTTGCACATCGTCTAGTTTTATTCAGAAACTTATTCGTCCACTGAATGACGATGGTTCGCTAACTTCACTCCAAGATGCTATCGGAATTCTATTCCAGTCGCACGAGAATTCAAGGATACAAAACGCGAAGCCTGAAAGTAATTTTGCAGTGTTTATTTCTTTAGAATAATTTTTGGGTTACATTTGCCAAAGAAATTGAAACACTAAAAATTAAATATTCTTTTGGAAGGTGATGCGTGTGTGGTACTTTTTTAGCAGACTAAAAAGGTGATTACTACGTGCTGCTAGACACAGTACCTTGTGCGTCGGTGATTGAATGATAGAATACTCGCCACCCACGCACATGATCTGGAGTTCGATTCCTGGCTGACGCACTCTCCTTTACCTCGCTTCGCTGGTAGTAAGCTTGGTATAAAGGGAAGTTTAAGCGTTAGGTTAGCAACCTCACCCTGTGAAAAGCAAAGATCATATTGCTCTTGTCCACGCCAAGTAAAATACTAAGTCGCATCATCCTAGACAGAATAAAAGATGCACTGTATGCAAAACTCCTCCTGGAACAACCTGGATTCAGAAAAGGCAAATCATCTGCTGATTAAATTGCGACTTTACGCATCGTTATCGAACAAAGCATAGAATGGCATTCAAACCTCTCCCTACTTCAACTTCAGTGTTGACTGAGAAGTAATTCGGGAAATACTTCAACAATATGGTTTCCAGTGCCCAAATCTTTATCAACCTCATTCAACAGCTGGCTACATGATAATGTCATGGTTCAGACGATCGACAATGGAATACTCAGCGAAGTTTTTGAAGGGAAGACAGGAATAAGACAAGCTGGCTGCCTATTATCAACGATGATATTGCCAATTACGGTGAACTAGATTACGTGAGAAACGATGGGAAGTGAAACGACAGGAATACGCTGGACTACCGACAAGAAGACTATAGAAGATCTGGATTTCGCGAACGATTTATGTTTAATGTCACGCGAACTGGAAGACTTGCAGGCGGATGGTAACAAACTGGCAGCGAAGACAGGGCTCCAGGTGAACATAGAGAAGACGGGGGTAATGAAGATAGCTAAACAACGAGCATCAACAACAACCAGCACCAATCACCATCAACAGAAGAGGTTTAACAGAGTCCACTTCCTTCGCTTATCTAGGAAGCATCGTTTCAAATACGGGCGGAATGGATGACGGTGTCAAAGCCAGCCAGAATCGGAAAGATAAGATACGCCTTCATCAACGTGAAACCAGTTTGGAAATCTTCTGCACTCCGCCTCAGCATCAACAACAAGATTCAGATTTTCAACAGAAATGTGAAATAATCAGTCAGTACGTCTATATGGGTCAGAAACTTACACTGGGCGTCATGAAAAGGATTTCCAACAGACTACTGCAGACTTTTATCAACAGCTATCTTCGTTGGCTCAATATTGAAGACCAAATGGCTGACCAGAAACAAGAAACTATGGGAACAAACTAACCACGATTCTATCGCCCCACTAATTCATGGGGGAAAATGGAGATGGACAGGGCACACACAGAGAAAACCGTCGAATGACATTGCGCCTTCACCAAGCCATCTTTCAAGTATAACCAGAATGGGAAACGAAATGGTAGTCGATGCGAGGGTGACATGGAGGAGATCGTGGGAAGAGAAGATGTGAGATTATGGGCAATCGTGGACTCAGACAGGTGAAGGGAACAACAGTGAATAGAAAAAAGTGGAGATGTGTTGTTGAAGCCCTATGTTCCACTTGGAACCCAAGGGAACAATTATAATAGTAATATTTCTGCGGAATCTTCATAGCTCAAGCTTGATGCCTCATTATTTACCTGAAATGCAAAGGAAAAATAAAAAGCACCATAACGGGTATGTTATTATAAATCACTGGTTTTTTCTACTGGCATTGGATTTAATCGAAACTTAGTGGACCAGTTATTACCAGTACAAACTAAAGACGAGTGACTTCACTTGAAAAACAATTTGAAGTGTTGCTGAATAGAAATAAGAATATGGAGTCGTTCACTATCTAGATAACTCGAAGTCATTATGCAACAGACCAGTAGATTTTAAAGTGTGCGATCCAGACATTGCATCCTTTTTAGTAACCATCGTACAAGTCATCTGAAATATACAAAAAAGGTGTGTCTCATTCGAATTTAGGAAATATATTGGCCAATTCTGGTTTTAAGTGAAGCTCTACACATTGTCATGTAAATAAGTGAATGCACCCTGCAGTCAATAAGACCTTATTCACCTCCAAGGTGATTTCTCCACTAGACTTTTACAAAACAACTTCCAACGAAGTAAGTGAAGTCACAGCTTAGTTTCTGTCGATTTCGTAATAATAATAATAATAATCTCAATTTTCACACAAGACATTTCTAATTATATTTTATGTACAAGGGCTTCCCGCTTGTTAGTATAGGATACGGACCTCAACTGCTGAATACTAAGTGTTTGTTTCAGCGGTAGAACGCTTGCCAACCGTGCAAATTGTCCGGGGCTTGATCCTCGACCGACGCACTTCTAAACCTCACTAAGCCAGTGGTAAGGCCGATAAAGAAAGAAGGTTAGGCGTGAGACTAGCAGCCCCACCCCCAAAAAATAAAAAACCCATTGCTACTAAAACTTCAAAGCTCAAATCTGATGTCCCATGTTCCAATGAGAACTTAAAGGAATAAAATTATTATAATAATAATAATAATAAGGGGAATGAATCATACTCACTAGTTTTCTGTAGTAGTTTGGCCATTTATGAGTAAACCCCGTGTAGAAAATGCAGACAGTTTGTGAATAATTTGGTTGTGTTAAATAGACAACAACAACAACAACAACAACAACAACAATGGCTTTTAGACCATGTGTCCAATCTACTAATTACAGGAATTAACTAACTGAACTGAATGCACTTGTAATGCGTCGGCTATCACAGTTTTTCTTTTCTCATTTCACTATTTAGATTACTTATTTTTTATCCATGGAATTACAGTACCGCAGGAAACCTCAATGCAATGGATTAGTGAACACATGTCTTATCCTGATAACTTTATTCATATAGTTGCTCGTCCACGCAGTCAATCACATCGAATTCAGATTCATAATTTATTGTAACTGTGAAGCTCTTTCATGAATAGGTAGTATGATGCACGCGGTCTTTCAAGTGTCTCAGGAGTTTACTTTTGGATTCAGTGTGAATTGTCACAAGCCTTTTTGATTTAAATTTTTTCCACTGATTGATTGATTGATTGTAAATCCTGTGAAAAACAAAAATACTTTTGCTACTTTCTTTCGTTTCTTGGTTTCAATGATTTTGGTTGATTTTAAATTAAATGTTGTGATACACATTTTAAAAAAGGACTACTTTATCAGTGTACGTGGAATAGTTCGATGACAACGAAATTCTAAAGTACTTCTATGGTTAAAATCCCCATTTAGACATTTAGAAAACAGAAAGATTGAGCGAAGAAATATTTACTTTTCAATTAGATCCTTATCTCTGGCTCTACTCTAATATATATAGCATTTTTATTACAATACACAACAGTTCACCAATCAAGTGGCGACATGTTTGTTAACAATAATTAGTCAGTGTCAACATGTCAATGGGGTGATAATTAACGAAGAAAATCAATACATACAATTAAAAGGTAGAAATGGTTACAATAAATTAATTTTACAAGGATAACACTTAATTAAAGATGAAGTGGTCAGAAAAATAAAATAATTTAGATAATTATAATTTTTAAATGTTTAGGGGGAGGGGGGCAAAGTAGTCCGGTTTATACATTCATGTAACGACCAAGGTAAGGAAAGTGTCTGTACGAATTTCTTCTGAACACACAGGTTTGGCTTCTTCATGTGGATTCCTATTGCTTGTAGATAGTGAGCACAAGGTTGACGTTAATACTGCATTTAAAATTATTTATCGCATTCCTACTAATCTTAATTTTGCTCTACGAGTTCGTCTTCTACATACAGCTGAAGCTGTAACAACAACTGAAGGCAAGACACGGAAGTCATGGTATGTTTTTAAGTTATCAAACCGCTGTTTATATCTATGTGGTTTATATTCTTTAACCAATCAGTGAGCGTGTGATTTTGGTTTACATTAAACGACATGAAATTGAATATTCAAATACATATATAGTATTTTGTTTCTAATGCACTCACTACTGAAATGTGGGAATAGTATTGAGACGTTAACACCAACAAATACAATGATTCTTATTATGAGAATAATATTCAGTTGGAACTCATTGTCTGTTTCACACCACCACAGTAGTGCTGAAAGTTAAAAGCGTTGGTAGGTTGTCTCATTGATGTAGCAGTATTTGGTCAAGGATTCACTCTATGGTTATTGATGTGAAGTGCTTGTTTTATGCAAAGAACTAGGTCTGCGGAGGGATATTGTCAAAATTAATAATAATGATAATAATAATAGCTTTATTCTGAATAATGTTTATATAATGTACAGAATTTTCAACAGAGTCCATGATCTTCAAATAAATAATAATTTGCTTTATTCCAGAAACACTACTAGTGGTACAGTGTAGAACTCTCAGCACATATCTACAATATTGAATCTAATTTTATCAAACATTTAAAAGGAGTATTTCAAAAAATAAATATAATAACGTAAACAACAATAATAACAAAAAAATGTGAGAAAAATACCAAGAAGTAGATAGGAAAGTAAACAAGATAATAAATTATATCTCAGTATTGGGTAGTGGAAGCTATGATATGTTTATGCGTGGTGGCATTAAAGCTATAATCATACAAGAAGTTGTGAAATGATATTTAAGAATGTTTATCGCCAAGATGATCAGTTAATTTGATTGAACAACAGTAAACAATCATAAAATAACATTTGAGGTTTTTTATAGTCAGCTCTAATGCGGTGTTTGTAGTGGTAGTGAGAGCAATCCTGCATAAAACAAAATTTTAAGATGGTGATAATGGCGTTCACAACCAAGATTGTCAGTTAATATTACCGAACAAAAAACAACCACAAAGCTAGTATTACATGATGGTTAGTGACAGGACAATTTAGTAATATTCATAGTGATAATATTGTCGGAACCAGTAGATACACAAAAGAAAAAATAGAATAAAGTACAAAAAATAAGCCAATGTTAATAATTTAGGTGGCTAAGTATGTTTAAGAAGGTGTCCACTATAGAATACAAATAAGAGAGAAATAAAAGAGCCAAAATCATGTTATTAACAACAAAACAAGTCATAGGTTTTGCGCTTAACATTGTCTCTGTCATTTAGAACACGGGCCAAATATGGTATCGTTGAGTTCCTGTACTTGATTGTACAAGAATAGATTATTTTATACTGATTTCTGGTTCTACCTGATGAGATACAAGGCGAGAGTTGGGAGTAGAGGGGGTGTTGGGGGTCAGAGAGTATTGTTTTAGACCATTTTTCGCATGTATTCATATGTGGTTAATTGACAGCAGACCGTGGGACACTGTCCTATCTATCTGACTTGAAGCTCAAACCAATTCATCATTATGATATCTCTTCTTTTTCTCCTTTGAGCAAGAGACGACATTTTGTTGAATGCCAATTATAGAAGATTCAGGAGTACATTTTGTGAACCAAGAGTACCACTTAGGAACGTATATCTCATTGTATTGGGATAAGCTGCCATCCAGGATAATGCTTCTTCTCATGCTTAGTAGAAACTTGTGAATCCGCAGGTTGTAAATGTTTTAAACACTCACCAGAGTAAATGATAATACTATTAGAGGTCGTATTTTAATAGATTTAATCAAACTGAATAAGAGAAATTCTATGGAATATATTGATGGAGGTTTTCGGTAGCCCAAGTTTTAAGCAGGCTGCCACCCACACGTAAGAAAGCTCAGATTATATTAATTAAATGTTTTGGGAAGATAGGATTATAGTATCATCTTCTGATACTTCCTATCTGGTAGTTCCTTTTCAGTCAAAATAACAAGTAGTGATGTGCCTGTGAAGTGAAATTACATGTGAACACAACTTCGGTTGCCCTCCACTAGTTTAAGGTTTGTTTTCCCCAGTGAATGAAACACCACAAAAGCGCCTTTACGTATCTTATTTAAGTACATCTGCGGAATCTAATCATGTGTCAGTCCATGCACCAGTTTGCTTCAGTCCTAATTGGTTTTAAAAATTAATAGCGGCAGAAGCCGTGTTTGTAATCTGTGTGTTTAAAGACTCGGTGACTATTCGTGTCTGAGTATGTGGAGGTCGGCATAATGCTCAGTATCCAGTGACATAGATGGTTGCAGACCTGTTCCTGAAGATTTCTAAAAAAAGAATAGTTAGTAAGTCTCTTTTCAAGCACCATTAATTTCGTTCTGATATAATCCTTTCTCTACAAAAAATGCTTTCAACTTAGGCAACTGAGTATAAAAGAAAAGTAGGATAACTCAAAGTGACTAGTAATTCTGCTTAACTTTTTATTTATAGAGAGATTCTGTGGTAGTCATTTTATTAATTTGCAAGGCTTCTTGTTCATTACATTATTTGTGGTGTATTTGGGATTAAAATGTAATCAAGATTGAATTCACTATGAAGTAAGATACATTTAATATATACTGGTTTTGGTCAGTTATAATAATGTGAAGGTGAGTGATCATAGATATTCTTTTGGTATGATGTTATCCCGACACCAATTGTCTTTTTTACGTTTGCAATGTACGATATTCTCACTTCTGTTCAAACCGTATACCAGATCACTTCATCCTGAGACCTCGAAAGTCTCTCAGTTGTTTACAGACCACATTGGAGCCATATCTCCTATCTCTGGCTTTACGAATCTTCAGGACGCCAACTAGGCAATCTTCGCCTTACTACAAGGCTCAAACCAACGGTCGAGAACTTCATGTAATGATCGCATGTTTTGGCATGACTATCTTCAGCTCTTGGTCAGGTAACATTGTTGGTTAAGGAAGAGGATGACTTAGCTTACCATCATCTCAATCAATGGAACTTCACCACCTTGTTGACTGAATTTCCCTTATTTTCTGACGTCACCTGGTTACATTTTGCTATCTAACACAAGAAATTGTTATCAGATACCTTGAGTCTTTTAATGTCAAAACTCCAGAAAAACTTCCCTTAAACTGAAGTTGTAATCAGTTCACACTCCTATGGGCCAATAGACTGCCTGGTTTTCTCAGGTTTGCTTTACCCTTCGTCGTCGTAAGATTATGCGTGCGACTCAACATCGTAGAAATTGTGTTAGTTAGCCATTCTGCAATTATCACCGAAAGATTGATTTCCAGTCTTACAAACTAGGATAATCAGCGATCTACGTCAATCCTATGGAGCTGGGTGGGATTCTTATACATCAGTTAGTACCTGAATCAGTCTAGCCAATTATTATTCATTGTCGCCATCATTAGACACCCTTGGAGACATGCAATCAGATCCTGCTGATTTAACTCACTTGTCACTTGTAAACCTAGTCGAAGTGCTCCTTAGACTCTAGCATCCTTCTAGAAGATTATTCCATTTACCTAAATTCTACAGAGCCCTTTTCCATAGGCAGGCTGAACAGCCGCTTTCCATGATGCCCTCAAAGCTTCTCATTAGTCATTTGAAGCATGTGTTGTGTTACTTACTGGGTCCTCAGATCTCGCCACCACTGGAGAAAGACGCGTCTGCATCACAGAAATGTACGTGTTGTAAATTGCCATCTGGAAAAATGACTCAAGCTGCAAAAGCTTTGTCAGTGTTAACCAACAGGATGCGACTTAAAGCATTTAACACTTGCCTTCGAAAACTATCTTATGTAGGTTCAGTCAATTCGAAGTATTACATTTAACACATAATTCTTCTTTTACTAAATAAGTGCATTCACATCGAATTCTTCCTTTCCGTTGTTGTACTGATCATTTTCATTCGAATTCACACAACTCACCACTTCCTCACGATTTGAACCATTTAGATAGGAAATCAGTTGCTTCATCAGTGAAGAGATTCACTTCAACCTTGTTACTACTGATGAATACTTTTGCCAACTGGCGTTCTAGACTTTAATAATCATCAGACGGAAAGACTAATCAACATAAATTAATCAGAAGGAAGTTCATCTAGTATAAAATCACAGT